AAAGCAGAGTACTCTCTCCTCCATTTTTTAGACTAAAATGCTACTATCATTTCCAACAGAAGTACAGTCCTTTTCACTACTGTCTAGCCCATCTGGATTCATCCCTCAGCCAGATGTTCTTCATTCCCCTCAATGTAGTCTTTCTGTTCATGGCCCTGTTAGAGGGAGCAAAAAAGGAATGAGAAGAGTTGAGATCTGGATGGATTTCACTTCTCTTCTCTTGTTCCTGTACTCTACTTTTAAATTCTGTTGAAAAGCTGTGTAGGAAGACATTATATTTCATCTTCCATAAAACTATATCATGAAACTAGAACAGCATAGTAGAGGGTGATTAAAAGTGTGAATTTTTAAGTCAGACCTTCGTATGATCTTGGGCAAATAACTTATGATCTCTGATCCCCTCAATCTCTCATATGTAAGTTGGGGGTAAAAAAAAATAGTACCTGCTTCATAGGATTGTTGTGAAGATTAAATGAAATAATGTAAAGTACGTATTAGCTCAGTGCCTAGCATACAGTAGACATCTAGTCATGTTAGCTTTTATTAACTTATTTCATATATCCAGCTACAGATGAGTTTCTCATTGAGCAAGTGATCTTGTTTGTGGCAAGAGAGGAATAGATGTTCTTCAGTTGTACTCTGGTAAAGGTGAGAAATTATGATCCTGTGTCATTGTCTTACCAAGCAGCTAATTACTCTCCATCTTTAGACAAAGAGAGAGTAGTGTTATTCGTTTTATCTTGTGTTTTCCTTAATATAGGAGTTTTAAGTCCTTTTGGATTTATGTCTGACTTAAACATCTGTAATCACATATGGATGGCTTCATAGAATTTACAGGAGAATTCTTGTTTCTGGGTCAGACTCACTCTAGAGAATTGGTCAGTTAAGAAAATGTGTAAAAGTTTTCACCTGCCTTTCTAAATTTTTAATTAGAAGCCAACTCTATATGTCAGTTTAATCTTCAGACAACTGTTTCAGAAAAACTAATATTTACATAAATTAATCTCTTGCTATTCTAGCAAGATATACTAAGCTTTTACCTTACAATGAAGTACATGTGATTAAATTTGCATATAATTTTCTTCATATGCAAATAAAGCATTTAATTTTCAAGTTGAATTTGATCCACCTAAACTCTGGTGGTTGCAAATTTTATTTTTTATTTCCATGCCACTGTGCTGCCATCACATCTTTGATAGCATTTATAAAGCTTTAACTTTTTTTCAGTGACATTAAGGGATTTTTGTAATCAACCACACTTTCATTCCTTGTGATCAACAATGTATGCCACTTTTGTGATAACTGGGGAGTCCTAATCTGGGGCCACAAAATAAAGAGCATTGATTGTAGCATCTAGAGTATATCTACCATGGCCCTGGGAGCCTTACTATAGCAAGATCTGTTGTGTATTTTGTTCCATCAGAAAAGCCTTTTATTGAGTTTTGTGTAAATAGAAAGGCATCTTTCCCTTATATCATATATGAATTTGACTTCTGGTTTTTTATAATCAAGAGTTTTCCAGGTAGCTTTGAGTTAAGTGAGGACCCCCCACTCAACCCTCCCCATGTGAAAGCACTATATACATTTTAGAGAATACACTTAAATCTGCTTTAAAGCATAAGCAACAAATTTATCTAAGAACAATATTACGGAACTCCAAAAACCAGGAAGTTAGTTCTTAAACTGTGTTTGTCAAAGGGAAATTACTGAGGTATGCTTGGTTCTTTTAAACTCACAACAAATCTACTTCTTTTGTAGATGTAGAGACTACTTTGTTTACAGGAAACCAAAGTGCCCGCAGCTGTAACTTTGTCTGGTGATAGGTAGACTATTTAGTCTTTACTTTTAAAATATTTTCATTTAGTAAAGCAGACAGTTGCTGTGTTGGCAGAAGTATGAATTTCATTTCCTGTCTGTGGTGTACCCCACTCATCCTGTCACTCAGACATTTTGTTTTAGGTTGTTCCCGTAATATGAGTGAAACAGTGACCCACAGCATGGTGACATGTGCATACCACGAATGTAACAAGGACAAGACTTGTGCAACAGACCACAAGAGCGCAATGCTTTATTTAAAGATGAAAACAAAACAAAATAAAGGCAGCCCCTCCCAGCCAGTGTGCAAATTTTAGAGTGGTGTCTGCATTCATGTTTGTTTTTAGAAGACATGTTCTAATGTAGTTGGGAAGTTACCTCAAAGGTTTATCAGCTTCATGCCACTTGATTAAAGGATGAAATTTAGTCAACAACTGACAATTTTATAGGGGTGATTTAATTTAATTTTCCAATTAACTTATTATCAAACATTTGTATTTTATAGTTCATTAATCTGCCATATATATTTAGTCCAGTGGCAATTATTTTTTACATGTGAGATTATAGAATTTCTCTTGTTTTAAATTACAATTCCTGCTGCAGTGATGAGACAGACATAAAAGTGTGGAAGAAACTGTGGAATGGATGAGTTCCTCCATCAAATATCTACTGAATACCTACTATGTGCTTGGCACTGTTTTCAGTGTTGAGGACCAAAATAAAATCCTTGCTCTTCATGGAGTTTATATTCTGTTATAGGGAGATAACTGCAATCAAGTATACAAGTGAATAAATAAAATTTTAGTGCATGACAAATATTCTGAAGGAAACAAAACAGAAACAGGATAAAGTGTGATTGGGATGGGGGGAGGGGTAAAGATGATAATACTGGAGCTATGATTTAGTGACAGGCCAAGAAAAACGTTTCCCAAGTAGAAAACAAAAAGCACAAAGGCCCTGAGAAGGTGTCTGAAATATAGAAAAAATAGAAGGCAGTGCAACTAAATAGTAAACAAAAGGGGAGATGGAGTAAGATCAGAGAAGTAACTTAATGGATGTTACAGGGCCTTGAAGTCCAAGCTAAAGACCAGCTTTTATTTTAAGTACAAAGGGAAGCCACTGGAGGATTTTAAGTAGGGAAGAGACATTATATGATATATATCTAATGATTTAAAATACATAGATCTATATACAGGTTTGTTTATAGATCTATATATTTTAAATTCTGGTGGTTCTTTGGTAAGGGGCTAGCTGCAGTGCAGCAGTGGTTGTGGACAGGCCAGTTAAGACACTCTATGTTGATACTCCTGGGATTAGCTTCACTTCAGGGGCGGAGAAGGGTATAAAGGAAACAGGGCTGGCCCTGGCCTGTGTGCTCAGTGGTTAGAGCATCGCCCTCGTGCCTCAGGGTCTCGAGTCTGATTCCTGGTCAAGAGCATGTACCTGAGTTGCAGGTTTGATCCCCGGCCCCAATGGGCTTGCCGGAGGCTACCAATCAATGTGTTTCTCTCACATCGATGTTTCTCTTCTTCCCCCTACCCCTGCTCTGAAAATCAATGGAAAAAATATTCTTGGGTGAGAATTAACCAAAAAAAGAAGGCTGGCCATGAATTAAAGCTGAAATGTATGAGAGCATAGGGGTTTTTACAGTGGTTTAAGTAAAAAATGATAGCGCCATGGACCACTGATTGTTAGAGTGTTAATGGAGTTAAGTGAGCAGATTCAAAAATTATTTAAAAGCCAAGCTCAGAGGTTTCCCTGATTGATTACATATATGAAAAAAGAGAAACCAACCATGATTGTTATGTATTTGGCCCAAACAACTTGGATGGATGAGGCTAGGGATCAGGCTTGCAGGGGACTCAAGAGATTAGCTTTGGCAGGGTAAGTTTGAGATGCCAATTAGTATTCCAAGTAGAAATGTTGAGGAGGCAGTTTAATTTAGAATACATTAGCTAACCCTGCAAACTTGGAAACCCTCCATTATGTGTTCTAAACTTTGCAGTTAGTGATTTAAAAGTTCGATCCTGCCCAGCCAGCGTGTCTCAGCTGTTGAGCATCAACCTGTGATCCAGGAAATCAAGGTTCAATGCCCGCTCAGGGCACATGCCCGAGTTGGCCACTCGATCCCCAGCAGGGCGTGTGCAGGAGGCAGCTGATCAATGACTCTCTCATCACTAATGTTTCTCTCTCTCCCTCCCTCTACCTTTCTCTGAAATCAATAAAGATATACTTTAAAAAAAAGTTCAATTCTTTTCAGATTCTGTAGGTTACATTGAAAGGCTTAGTCTATTGATATGAAATAATTGAGGTATATTTTTTGTTTTCTGTGGATATCCACTAGCAATTATATTTTGAGTAGCCTCTGTCCTGAGGAGTAATTCTTCACTTCTGTTGAGCTATCATTCACATGAAAGATGAAGTTAGCATGGAGGGCAAACTCCATGGGTTAAGCACACTTCCTGTGCACTACTTTTCAGTGTATGTGGAAATACAAGTTGGTGAAAGTAAAATTTTGAGTAACACTTTAGTGTGCTGTGTATTTTAAACAAATTTTTTTGCAAAGTTTGGATCTAGCAAACTTTGGATCTGTTTCATAAAAATTGTCTAGAGTAGACAGGACTGTGTGAGTAGCCATACACAGTCTCTGTTAAGTATTGTCAGATGCGCATATGATTAGAACACTATTGAAACACCATTATTGGTAACCATAGGTCTAATAATAGTAACTAGTATTTACTAAAAGCACCACTGTAAGAAGCTGCAATCTTATTGACTCCTCACAACCACCTCATTTTGTTATCTCTGTTTTATGGATAATGGAATTTTAGGCTCTAAAAATTCACTCAGGTAAGAAGTAGCAGAGTCAGGATTCACACCCAGGCAGTCTGGTTCCAGAACCTTTACCCTTTTTTTTGGTTTCCAGAGCCTTCACTCTTAACTGCTACTATGTAATGCACATAGAATACATTAAGTTCTGTTTCATAAAAATCGTCTAGAGTAGACAGGACTATGTGAGTGCCATGCACTGTCTTTTTTTATTTGATTTTTGCTTCATCCCATGAAGTCGGGACTTTGGAGTAGGGATGAGAGAATAATTCTGAAGTGGGTCTCCGTCTTAGTTTTTGATTTCCTTTCTTAAGTAATTTATTTTCTTTTGAATTTTTTTTTTTTTTTTTTTGTAGCATCAGCGAGAGCTTTCTAACTGTCAAAGGTGCTGCCCTTTTTCTACCACGGGGAAATGGATCATCCACACCAAGAATCAGCCACAGACGCAACAAGCATGCAGGTAAACCTCAACATAATCTGTTCCTTTCTTGGTTTCTTTGATTCTCTTGTTCTGAAAGGCTGGCTACCTCATCCCCATTTCTCCATCGGTTCTGTAGTAGTAAAAGAAAGCATTGCACTTTTCTTTAACTCTCAGACCATTTTCTGGCACTTAGCAGAATGCCTTATACATCTAGTAGATCTTCAATAAGTATTTGTTGGAAAAATAATAAGGTACAAAAATACTCTAATGAAGTCTATGTGACTTCTCAATTAAGATTTTGATAGCTAAAAGAAGTTCAGATGTGTCCTTAGATCCTATGCAAAGTCATTTCAATTAACCAAAGATTACGTTTCTTTTTCCTGTCTACTCTCTATTGATGTTATAAGAGAAATAATATGATTGATTCATAGATAGATAGATGATAGATAGATAGATAGATAGATAGATAGATAGATAGATAGATAGATAGATAGATAGATAGATAGATGATAGATAGAACAGAATATGTACTGGGATAAATAAACTCACTGTTGTGATAACAAGAGTTATTATATCACATTGAAAAATACCAGTTCTTAGGTGCTAGAATGTACTTCTTGATTATGTTTGCACTAAAAAGACTGGGAATTTAACTCAGAGGACTTTTATAGAAACGAAGTCATCAAATAAAGTTCACCTAGAGATGAATATAAGAATCTGATTTTGAACAACCTCCTAATATTCTTCATCCTATACTAATGTGAGGGGTTTTTCTCCACACATCCAAGCAGTTCTCAGACACCAGCTGGGTGTTCTGCAGTTCAACTGAATTCTGACACTGTCAGACAGCGTCAGATCCCATAGGTTAAGGGCCCAGTTGTCCAGTACTCACTGCTCCTCACAGATGTCAATCATAAGTCCAGTTTGTCTGTGGATTGGAGTTTCCAATGACCACCTCCTTGGGTTCAGTTTCTTTGCTAGAGCAGCTCACATAACTCAGAGAAATTTGTTATAAAAGGATATAACTCAGGAAAACCAGATGGAAGAGGTGCATACGTCAAGGTATGTGGGAATGGGTACCAAGCTTCTAAGCCCTCTCCAAATGTGCCACTCACCTCAAATCTCCTTGTGTTCACCAACCTGGGAGCTCTCTGAACCCAGTTCGTTGGGTTTTTATGGAGGCTTTATTACATAGGCATGATTGATTTAATTGCTGGCCATTGGTGATCTGGTCAACCTCCAGCCCCTTCCCCCTCACGCCCTTCCCCCATTCCCTGTACCCTGGCAACCAGCCGCCATCCTTAGGTACTTTCCAAAAGCCATTCATTAACATAATAAAAGACACCATTATTGCTCTCCTCAACTTCAGAAATTCCAAGGGTTTTTGGAGCTCTGTGCCAGGAGCAGGATAAAGACCAAATATATATTTTTAATCACAAGATCACACCCACTAATAGTAGTTATATACATTTATATTTCCATATGTTGGATTTCCCTAAAGTCAGGTGCAGTTGTGCTGATAAAGTCAAGAAAGAATCAGAGAAAGTGCATCTGAGGAAAGTGGTCTCTAAGTATAGGATATCTCTAGGTTCAGGAAGATAATCAGTCTATGCCTCTTCTAACAGCAAACCTTGTTTGTGTCATTTGGGGGGAAAAATAAAAGCCAACCTGATCACAGCAGTTGAAGAAATCCTGATCAGTGCTATACAAAGAGTGATTGCTTATTGTTATAAATGTGCCACTTTGATGTGTTACCTCCAGGAGTGGAATATATTGGAATTACCAGCAAGAGAACAAAGAAGACTATAAACTTTGAGTGTGTAGGTCAGAGGTGAAAGCCAGAAATACTGGATCCCATGAGCCAGTGGTTGAGTTTAGCTCCAGTCCAGATAATCTCAGCTATTTTAGTGGCTGTCCTACTTCTTATTTGAACCTTCATCTAGTTACAAATGTAGCAGCTCAGAATTATTTTATCTCATTGGACTGTATTATCCTCCTACCACAATTTCCCAGCATGGAAAATTTTTAAAAGAGTAAGGGGAAAAAAATCTCTTTTGAAAAATAAGCTTTGGAGTACACTTTCTAAAACCTTCCTTTTCGGTGCCTACTGTAACCAGAGGGGAGGGACACTTCCCCCCAAAACTTGAATGCACAGAGGAAGTAGACCCAGCTAAAGCTTTGTATTTCTGTTTGGTGTGGATATTTATCACTTACAGTAAAAAGAAGACAAAATATTGGTTTAAATCCAGCTTGTCTGACTGAAATGTTAGGCAGATTGCTTTGTGGCATTAATTGTAAGTGGCATCCATGGCTCTCAAAGCTCCTGGCCCTGGTTGGCCTTTTTCTTCTGTCAAACTTCCACACTAAACTGCCACCCAGATTTCTACTTGACCTTGTTCACTTAGCTTTCCCCTTCCTAAAAAGAAAAGCAGATTGAACACAAACTGAATGGGCTTGATTTGTAATCCAGACCAGAACAGATGAGGCAGTGTGGTTATAAACACAGCTTACAAAACCAGACCTTCACATAAGCTGGAGCTGCCTTGGCTGAGCTCACAGTGACTGAAAGATGATGGCAGAATTGAGAGCGATCAAGGGCTTACTATGTCTAATTGTACTTTCTTAAGCATGTTTCTTAAACTAGTTAGAATTTCTTATTTGGGCTTCATTTAAAATATCCAAACACTTCTCTGTCACTTTAGACTTAAAAAAGGGCTGGACCTGGATGGGCAGGAATGAAGGTTTTTCTTCTCTAATTGTATTCATTTATGATAGCACATTATCTAATTATCTCCTACTGTCTAAAGCCTCAGATTTCCTAGTACAGAATAGAGAATATGAGGAAATCTATAATAGTGTAATACAAAGACATTTCAACTTTGTTTTATAGAATATATAAGAACAAGTAACATCTAATATGTTCAGTAGAACATATATCCCTTGGTATCTGCTATATTTAATAAGTACTTTTATTTTAATATCAGCCACTAATATGGAAATCATTTTAAACTTTTGACATTATTCTAGGGGGAATCTAAAAATCTTCTTTGGTTAAGTGCAACTGAAGATTACAGTTACAGAAATTGGAATGTCGAGATTCCTTCATTGGCACTGTCTGGGCCTGAAAGCACAGCCAGTGCTGCCTTTGCCTGACAGATTTCACACCCCCGCTCTCATCAGCATCCACCTTAGTACAAAACTGAGACTGGTTTCAAGTGTCCCTTCCATAGGACAAACACAAACAAATGTTACTGTAGCATAGTCTTTAAAAGTGAATGTAATTAGGGTCCTTCAGTGAACCAAAACTTTCGTACAAGTCATTAAGAGTAGAAGGCAACCTCTATGAGAACATTCGCAATGGAGAATAATTATTTTTTGTTTTGTACATTTCACCAGGTGATCTCCAACAGCATCTCCAAGCAATGTTCATATTACTCCGCCCAGAAGACAACATCAGGCTGGTAAGTTAGTGTATCCTCGTAACTCTCTTCCTCAAAAGAACTGTCCATACAGCGAACTTTATGCAGTCATTTATGTCCCAACACAGTACCTAGAACTCTGTGGAAAACAATGACATGTCCCTATAATCAAAGAGCTTAGATGATAATTGAGGATATGAGCTAATGTGAAGTGATGTGAAATAATTTGTTGGTAAACACCAGTTTGTAAGTTATTGACCACAACAGCAATTGAAGTTCAGCAAAGAGGAAACTTGGAGACGACCTCGTTGAGGAAGGTTTTAAGTATGCAGGAGAGCTCGAGCTGAGTCTTGATTTAGATTGGCAAAGAGAAAGGAGACCGTCATTCTCGATGAGGACACAACTGAAGCAAAAGCACTCATAGAAAGGGACAAGATGAGAATGAAATGGCCAAGGTTTTGTGCTGACCTCAGAGTTGGGAGACCTGGGCTTCGGTTTTCACTACTCTTCTGATGTTGGACAAGTTACTTAGCCTGTCTGTGCCTGCTTTCTCTTCTCCTTTCTACCTCTCACAGTGTAGAGAATCAAATGGATGGGAAAGCATACAGAGTATAAAATGCTACCTAAATATGGGGATTATTGTTACTAAAGGGGAGATAAGATACCAGAAAACAAGGCAGGCAGATTTAGTGACTTCATGCTCCAAACTAGAGGTCTCAAACTCACAGTCCATAGGCCAGAGATATGCTTTGTTTGGACCACACTGTGTTTAGGGTTTGTTTGTTTATTTGTTTGTTTAATCTCAGCTAGAATTTTAAAGTTGGGTTATTTCACATAAAAATCCAGATTTGAGGGGTTTTTGTTTGTTTTTCAAAAATTCTGGCAACACTGGAACCTTATTCTCACAAGCCAGACTTGGCTAGACTGGTGGAGGGGAGAGCATTGGTGTGGCCTGGGTCCTTAATTTACCATAATCTACACATAGCCTATTGTCTCCTGGACACTAGAGCCAAGTGTCCCCATTCGTTATCATTCCTTCACTGTTAGGTTCTCATAGAAGTAGGAAAACAAAAATGGGATGAGTGTGTTTCTTTGTGGAAAGTGAAAAGTTTTTCTACGCACTTAATATTCACGTGGCCTACTTCACCCATTTATATTCCCTATCTGAGCCTCTAGATGAATACCCGGAGGTAGTACCTCTACCTCTTCAGTAAGCAGTAGTGAAGCATTACAGGTTTCTGAGCCAAGGAATTACTGGGGCAGCTACAGTGTTTAAGAAAGATTCCTTCGAAGCTAAATACAGAATAGAGGGGAGGTGGTGGCCATCTTAAATTAGGGAGGCCTGCTGGATAGTTATTGCAATAATCCAGGTGTGTGGTGATGAGCCCATCTAGGTTAGGCAGGTAACTTGTAAATTGGGTTTCCACAGACGCATTAAGTACTTGATCTCTGCTTTCTCCCTGGGAAGAGAAATAATGAGTAGAATATAAGAATGGTTAGAAAGTTGATGATCAGGCCTCTGAACTCTATAATAACTACTGATTCTTCATTCACATAATTATTCTTTGTTTAAATTCTGTCTTTTTTTTCTCTCAGTTGCTGCCTCTACCACCTTGACATGGCCACCAATATTTGTTGAGAAACTAACTTTGAAATTTAAAGGAGTTGAAATAAGAAATCCTTTCATAATTATTTTATATTCTAATCCGAAAGTAGCATTATACACTTATGTAAATCTTGTCTTTATTTCTCGACATACTTCTGTCTTAAATAAGTGAACAAAGTGGGGTGCAGTTCTTACAATATTAATATTTCAAAATAGCGATACTCCAACTTTAGAGTACATCAGAATCACCTGCAGAGCTCTGTTAAACTGCCACTTGCTGGACTCCACCTGCAGAGTTTGATTTGGGGAGTGGGAGGCAGTGATAATTTGCATTTTGAACAAGCTTCCAAGTGCTGCTGCTGCTGCTGCTGCTGGTTCAGGAGTCATACTTGAGAACAACTCCTCTAAAACCCATAATGGTTACTTGCACATATCATATGTCCTATAGATATTTGCTGATGGTTTCCAAGAATTGTGTGGTTTAGTAGAGCTTAATGTGACATCTGTCGCTCACTCTATCTTTTTCCCATTGATAACCTATGGAGTTCCGATTGCATCTCTAAATGTTAAAATAATTTTAACCACAAGAGACATGGGAGAATGTTAAGGGAGCAATTAGGAAGGTAGAATTGGCAATTAGATTTTTTTCTTTCCCTGCTAAAATATGCAGCTTCAGCTGCTTTGCATTTTTAAAATGTAAATTCAGAACATGTAACTGACGCCTCTGAATTAATTCAGAGTTCAGATGACAAGCCTTTTTACAGTTGTTTGAATTGTTACAAACACATAGTCATTATGTTTCAGATTATTGTGTGAGTCATCTTCAAGAAAATGAGTGAATACATTGTATGCTTTGGACAAATGAGCACTTTTCTAACTGAAAGGAGCATTTGTAGACTCAAAGCAAAGCCTTTTGTTTTGAGTTAAATTTGGAATGCTAAAACTCTCATTCTGGGACTTGCGCATAAGGTTGAAAGTTTGATAGTCAACTGAAAGTCCTGCCTTTAATTTTTTAATAACTCAACAATAAATAGAGTTACCAAACCCCACATTTTGCTTCAGCATTAAAAATAGGACTAAATCAATTTTTTTCTCCAGAGAACCCTGCATTCAAAATAGTCTCAAGCGTTAACTTTAGTACTTAGGAAAACTGTAGCTGGTACAATGAAAGCAGGGGTTTTATACTGCTGTTGCACATTATCGGAGACCCATTTATTTAATAAAAAATAGACTGGGAAATTAAGGACGTTCCTGACACTTGAAGTAAAATCAACTAACATTTTTAACTAGAACTGAGGTGCTGATAAAGTATGAGGAGGTGTTTTTGAGTATTTTGCAGGAGAGCTTAAGAAAATGAGGTTTTTTGTTTTTTATAAAACATTAAATTTTTTCCAAAAAGAAAATGGGTTTCTTTTTTCTAAGTATAAATGTATTGTTTTTTGTGTGTGTGTTTTTTCACTCAGACAATACAGAAAGGCATAAAGAACAAAGTAAAAATTACTCTGTGTCATACACTTAAAAAACCATTCCTAGCTATTTGGATAAGTATCCTTTTAGTCTTGTGTGTGTGTGTGTGTGTGTGTAAGCATGTGTGTCAGATTGTCTGAGACCTGCTCTTACTGAGGCGGACAGTGATAAAAACAGACAAATCTGAGCATCAGAAGACCTCCTAGTCTTTCTAAATCATGATTTCTGTAATTCTGAGAAGCAAAAGTAAAAAGTAATTTAAAACAATAAAGGCTTATGTCTGGGCGGGGGGGGGTGTAGAGTGAGTGAGTGTGTGTGTGTGTTTTTATAAAGGTGACAGTGGATAGCTGAGGATTTGTCAGTGGATGAATGAGACTGGGGGTGGGGGGGTGTATAAAAAAAAGGCCAAGAAGTTCTAAGCAAAAGTATCTCACAGAGAGTGCTTTTTTTTTTTTTTTTTTAAAAAAATAAAAAAAAAAAAAAAAAAAAAAAAA